GCGACGGGGCGCAGGCGGCTACATGTGGCCGGCGGGCAAGTGGGCCGCCCCGTGTCTGCGGCAGCGCCCGCGTGGCCCGGGCGGCGGGACCCGGAAGCGCGGCCGGGGAGGGGAGGAGGGGCCTCCAGCCGCAGCCGCACTCTACCCTCGTCTAGCAGGGGTCGTGCGCTGTGGAGTCGTGAGCAAAAATTCCACTCTGCGAGCAGCTGGCAGGAAAGTCGTGAGCAGCGACTGGGCCGCTGCAGAAATCCGTTCGCCCTCCCTTCCTGAGCGAAGACCGAAATGTGCGAGCCGGAGGCTAAAAAGCTGGGAGCTGGCTCACACTATCTCAGCTTAGGGGGAACACTGCTTGCAAGCGATGCTCTCCCTCTAAGCTGCGGAGTCCTAAACATCCTACTTGTTAATCTACCGGCATTCAAGTTGTGAGCAAGCGATTGGGCTGCTGCATCATCATCACCATCATCTCTTTCCATTTATTACTCGCTCGGTCCTGCAGAGCTGCTGGCTCTGAGCGATTTACAGTTACACATGTTTTTGTTGCTCGGTCGCACAGTCGAGTCCGACTCTCCGCGACCCCCATGGACCAGATCCCGCCAGGCCCTCCTGTCTTCCACCGTCCCCTGAAGTTTGCTCAATTTCATGTTCTTTGCATCGATGACACTGTCTGACCATCTCATCCTTTGCCCTCCCCGTCTTCTTCTTTGACCTTCAGTCTTTCCCAGCATCAGGGTCTTCTCCAGGGAGTGCTCCCTTCTCATTGGGTGGCCAAAGTCTTGGAGCATCATCATCATTATTATTATTAACGGGACTAACAATGATTCGTAGGAGGTAAGGGAGGACATCATATCTTTTGGGTGACATTGGTGGTTTAGGTTGCAATGTGAACCTTAAGGGAGTTATGGGATGGTTGTGTGAGTGTATATGTGTATGGCTGTAGATCACTGAAATGATTGCACCTTTAATTTCGTTGTACTGTGTACAATGACAATAAAGTATATTATTATTATTATTATTATTATTTTTAAGTCGCACACGTTTGCAGCCGGGGTTTTTTGTCCAGCCGAAATGGGTGAGCCGGAGGCTAAAAAACGGTGAGCTGGCTCAGCTGGTCACGAATAGGCTTCCGGAACTGTCGCGTACAGTGAACGCCAGGGAATGGCACCCCCCTCCCCACGACTGTTCCTTTAGATCCACAACAGGACCACGTGCGGCCAGGAAAGTGACACTACTCTAAGGCGACACAGGAATATCTTCAGGGGTCATGCGGCTCCTGCTACGATCCCCTGAAGATTCCCGGGTCTTTCCCTTTACATTCTCCATTTTATAATAGAAAAATGTCTTCCCCTGAATTCTGATATACCTAATATGGGGCGTGCATTAAGGGCCATCAAGTTTCCCCCCACCTGATAGCGACCCTATGAATCAATGGCCTCCAAAACGCCCTCTCCTTGCAACTAGTGCTCCCCCTAAGCTGAGTTAGTGTGAGCTAGCTCACAGTTTTTTAGCCACTGGCTCACACCTTTTTATCTCAGCTCAGGAAGGAGGGCTCCGGAGCAGAGTAATTTATGCAGTGGCCAAATCAATTGCTCACAACTTTAATGCCAGTAGCTCACAAAGTAGGATCTTTGCTCACAAGACTCCACAGCTTAGAGGGAGCATTGCTTGCATGCAGTGCTCCCTTTAAGCTGAGTCAGTGTGAGCTAGCTTACAGTTTTTTTAGCCTCCGGCTCACACATCTTTGTCTTGGCTCAGGAAGGGTGGCTCCGGAGCAAACCAACTTATGCAGTCGGCAAATGGCCCCCTCACAACTTCAATGCCAGTGGCTCACAAAGTAGAATTTTTGCTCAGAAGACTCCACAGCTTAGAGGGAGCACTGCTCGCAACCTCTCCTTGCTGAGATCTTGCAAACCGAAGGTTGGGGCTTCCTCGGTGGAGTGTCCGCCCATCTCATGTTGGCTGTAAGGGGGGGGGTCCCGCTGCCTTCCACTTCTCCTCCTGAAGCACAGATCTCTTGGCCGGCCTACACAGCCATTATCGTCTGCGCCGCTCAGGGCGCCGGCCTCACAACAACCCTGCGAGGTGGGGCGGGCCAAGGAAGGCTACTGGGGCGCGGAGCTGTCTGAACCCGATCTGCCCAGCCCCGCAGTCACGCCGGCATTCCCACGTGTCCCCGGCTCCTCCCGGGCCCCGCTGCCCGCCTGGCCCCGCCCTCGCAGGGGGATTCGCACCGCCCGGCCGGGCACGTGTCGTTGCAGGCGGCCGAGTCAGGCGCCGTGAATGGGCTCCGAGCCCCGCCCACGCCGGGGAGGCGCCCAATAGCGTGCCTCTGGCTCTCGGCGGACCGGCCAATGGGGAGCGGAGTTGTGGTTCTCACCGGCCGAGGCTGGAGTGAAAGTTACATAAGAATGAAGCCGCGGGCGGGCGGGGGGAGGAGCAGGGGGCGTGGCCCTGCGCGTCGCTTTGAAGCCCTGCAGCGTCACGGAGGGGGCGGGACAGGTAGGAGGCGGAGAGCACATTAAAGGAAGCGTGTGTGTCTGCGTAGACGCCCACCCACCAGTGTTCCCTCTAAGCTGAGTGAGTGTGAGATCACAGTTCTTTAGCCGCCAGCTCACACATTTTTGTCTCGGCTCAGGAAGGATGGGCACCAGAGCAAACTAGTTGATGCAGGGGCCAAATCTCTGGCTCACCACTGTAATGCCAGTAAAGGTAAAGGTTCCTTTGCTCGAAAGCCAGTCGGGTTGCGGTGCTCATCTCCGTTTCAAAGCCGAAGAGCCAGCGCTGTCCGAAGACGTTTCCATGGTCATGTGGCCGGCATGACTAAACACCAAGGCACACAGAACGCTGTTACCTTCCCACCAAAGTGGTCCCTATTCATCTACTTGCAATGTCTTGCTTTCGAACTGCTAGGTTGGCAGGAGCTGGAACTAGAGATGGGAGCTCACTCCATCATGCGGCACCCGGGTCTCGAACTGCTGAACTACTGACCTTCCACAGCCTGCAGTTCAGCATCTTAACCACTTGAGCCACCGCAGCTCCAGTAGTAGCTCACAAAGTCGAATCTTGAGTCTGGGTGTACAGGGATCCTCATGAATTCATATGATTTTTACATTGAAATTAAATTAAACCACCATCATATTGTAGGCCATGTGTTAGTCTATAGGGGGGACCACAAAGCACGGATCCTCATGAATTCATATGATTTTGATGCTGAAACGCAATAAAACCACCAGCATTCTGAAGACCATGTCTTATAGGCAGCACTACAAAAACCATGCCTCCGCGAATTCGTTGCACCACAAAAGTGAAAAAACATAGTTCCAACGCAGGGATCCTCATGGATCCTCAGCGTTTTTCAATTGGGTCACTCCAATATCACCATCAAATCACACGTCATGTCCATGTCCACCGCTTGCACAACAGAAATCATGAGTCCACGGCTTGGTGGCAAATCCATGCTGCAAAAAAATGGGTTCTGAACCATGGACACTTACAGATCCTCAGGGATTTTGTGTTGGGTCACCCCAGACTCACCATGGAATCATATATCATGTAATGACCACAGATCAGATCAGATTGAAAACAGATCAGCCAATATCATAATGCCCCTGTATAAATCAATGATGCAACCTCATTTGGAATACTGTGTGCAGTTCTGGTCACCACACCTTAAAAAGGATATTATAGCTTTGGGAAAAGTGCAGAAAAGGGCAACTCGAATGATAAAAGGGTTGGAACACTTTCCCTTTGAGGAAAGGTTGAAGCGCTTGGGGCTCTTTAGCTTGGAGAAACGACGACTGAGGGGTGACATGATTGAAGTTTATAAGATTATGCCTGGGATACAGCAGGTAGAGAAAGAAGTCCTTTTCTCCCTTTCTCACCATACAAGAACTCGTGGGCACTCCATGAAAGTTGGGTTAGAACGGGTAGAAGAAAGTCCTTCTTCACCCAAAGAGTCAGGGCTATTTTTGGGCAGGAACGCACAGGAACGGAGTTCCAGCTGGCTCCCAAGTTGGCCACGCCCAGCAGGAACTCATTAGCATAATAGGCCACAGCCAACAGCAGAAACTCATTCAGATTGGCTACAATTAGGGGTGTGTGGCCTAACATGCAAAAAGCCCTGGGTTTTGACAGCAAACAGGGTAAAGAGAATAAGAAGCAAAAGGTAGGTGTGGCTGGATGACCACACTTCTGGTAACATGGGGGTGTGGCCTAATATGCGAATGAGCTGTGCTGTCAGGGGTGTGGCCTAATATGCTAATGAGTTTCTGCTGGGTGTGGTCTATTATGCTAATGAGTTCCTGCTGGACTTTTTCTACAAAAAAAGCCCTGCAAAGAGTGATGAACACATGGAATGACCTCTTGCGTGTGAGAGGTGGAATTTGCCCCTTGGACTCCAAGGCCACCATCCCCGGGGCCATCACACGCGAGACGTGGAATTTGTCCCTAGGATTTCAAGGCCACCACCCCGGGGCTAAGAGAGGCGGGAAACGTTTCGTGCCCCTCCCCCCCGCGCCGCTGCCGCTAGCGCTCCTGCCGCCGCCAGTGGCCATAACTTTTTAAAGAGCCCCTAACAAGACCTGGGGGAGCCAGAATGACCTCTCGCCTGTGGACGTTTCGTGCCCCTCCCCCCCGTTGCCGCTGCCGTTACCGCTTCAGAACCATGTT